AGAGAGAGAGAGAGAGAGAGGGAGGGAGGGAGGGAGGGAAGGAAGGAAGAGAAAAGAAAAGATAAGAGAAGTGAAGAGATGAGAGATGAGACAAATATTTTCCTCTCCATGCACAGTGAAGTTTAGCTCAAGGGGCTGCTGAGGAAAAGGATGTATTCTTATTTAAACATTATAAAAATGGAAAGCAATTAAGTGACAAGTGTTTGAGTTACACATGCGATCATGATATGCTTTTATTTTTGAGAAAGGGTCTTGCTCTGTCACCCGTGCTGGAGTGCAGTGACATGAACATAGCTCACTGCAACGTCGACCTCCTGGGCTCAAGTGATCCTCCCACCTCAGCCTCCCAAGTAACTGGGACCACAGGCAGGCACCACCATGCCTGGCTAATTTTTACATTTTTTGTAGAGATGGGGTCTCCCTGTGTTGTCCCTGACAACTGGGAGTTTCTCCAAACCAGGAAGATGGAAGTAAAGGACAAGGACAGAGAGAAGGAGGGAGTAGAGGTAGCGAGAAAAAAGCAGGTCTCAGGCTGGACCAGAACATGGTGGCTAATGCTCTTTGAGTCACTGATATTCTCAGAAATAGGAGGCAGGAAAGTGACATTTATTAAAATAGGAGTTAGGCACAGGTAGTTCACAAGGCACTCCTGGGTGGCAAGTCACTGTCCGCACCTTCACTTTATAGATGGGAGACAGAACCAAGGGTTGAGACTCAGTGCCCTTTAGCACAGGGTGAGGCAGTAATTCCAGTAGAGATGAGGCCAGCATGGCCCTTGGTCTCATCTTTCTCCTTACCACTGCCCTTCCTGCAATGCTTAGTACCATGCCATTCCCAACTAGATTGTGACTGGGGATGACACCTGCAAGACAGCAAAGCTGAGAACTCCAGGGCTTTTTGCTTTCCCTCTCACTGTGGTCATCTGTACATACTTAACATTTCAAAGGGCTAAACATGCCTCCTGGCGGAACAGGGTTCAGATTCCATGTGAAACAGGTAGCAGTGAGCTCCATAGTTCAGTCTGGATAACCTCACAGAGAAAACGTTTTTTTCTTCTTTTTCCTCTGAGAACTTGGCTATTTTGCAACCTATGACATAGTTGACTAAACAATAAATAGGGAGACTTATCACAGAAGCATCCCAGAGTACACAGCCAACAGGAATTTCTCTTGTAAAGGAGGTCCCTAAGCAGAAAGCTCTCTGAGAAAGAATGACGTCAGCAGGCCCAGAGAGGACACATTACAGAGCCAACCCATTAGTCATCAGCCAAAGGAGAAGGGAAAGCAATGCAAGGGACTGGGCCATTTCAATGACTGCCCTACTGAGAGGCTCAAATCCAGCAGGGGAATGGGGCTGCTTGCTGCCTTCCCATCAGCATGGCAAATGTGGTAGTATGCTGGGAAGAACAAAGGGTAGGGCTCTATTCTAGCTTTGCCACTAATTAGCTGTGTGACCTTGGGCAGTTAATTTATAATGTAAATCTCATCATCAGTAAAAAGAAAAAGTCAGTAAAAATGAGTTCCTCATTCTAGCCCCATGGGGAAATGTGTGCCACTGTCAAAGTCAGCCCTGATCCACAGCACTAGCAAAGTAAATCAAGGAAGTTGGGCTAAGGACAAATAAAAATATTGACCTACATGCCTATATTACATTTCTTTTCTCTTTCTGAGACAGAGTCTCGCTTTGTCACTCAGGTTGGAGTGCAGTGGCACAATCTTGGCTCACTCCAACCTCTGCCTCCTGGGTTCAAGTGATTCTCCTGTCTCAGCCTCCTGAGTATCTGAGATTACAGGCACCTGCCACCACACCCAGCTAGTTTTTATATTTTTAGTAGAGACAGGGTTTCACTATTTTGGCCAGGCTGGTCTCAAACTCCTGACCTCAGGTGATCTACCTGCCTCAGCCTCCCAAAGTGCTGGGATTACAGGCATGAGCCACTGCTCCCGGCCTCAATATTATATTTCTGTCAGCTTCCCCCTGCCATCAAGTACAACTTGTTTTAGCTCTGGATAGTTACTTTAAGAACAAAAGAAAATGAACATTATGAAATGAAATAATCACAAACCAATTTTAATTTTTTTCTCTGAAAACTCTCAGGTTTTCAAAGTCATTTTAAGAAAAAAACTGATGATTTTTTTTTTTTTTTTTTGAAACAGGGTCTCACTCTGTTGCCTAGGCTGGAGTGCAGTGGTGGGAACATGGCTCACTGCAGCCTTGACCTCCTAGGTTCAAGCAATCCCTCAGCCTCAGCCTCCTGAGTAACTGGGACCACAGGTATACACTAATTTTGAAATTTTTTTGTAGAGACTGGGTCCTGCTGTGTTTCTCAGGCTGTTCTCCTGGGCTCAAGAGATCCTCCTGCCTCAGCCTCCCAAAGTACTGGGATTACAGGTGTGAGCCTCCACACCCAGCCAAAATCGAGGTATTTTAGCTTTTAGCAGGAATATTACCTATCCTTACTTAAAAGTCATTCTCTCAGGGACCTCAAGAATTAATTATTTACCCTGAATTCTCATTTTCTCAGATATGGAGAAATGGTACTACCCATCGGAATACAAGTGAGGGGCAGTGGGTCAACCTTCTGTGGACGGGGCCAGGCTGGGACCCTCTTTTGCAGCTACAAAAGCATTTATTGGCAGAGGTGAGTTTATTCAGCCAATGTGCAAATGATTCAAGTTTTAGCATTCATACCCAAGTAGCCTCAATTAGAACCACATGCAGTAGTTTTTTTGATATATCCTGAGACAATTTAACTATGATTCTGGCAATCATTAGTTTTATCTGTGCCATATTAGGACAGCAATTAATGCAAAGTACATACAAAGTAACTGAGGGGATAGTGGCTCTCCTAACCTCCAGATGAGGTTTCAAAGCAAAATTCATTATACTCACGACCAAAGGCCTTTGAAAATGTTGCAGCATACAAAGTAGTGTTAAGAAGACACCCTCTGTTTCAAAGCTTAGCGACTAGTTTAAAAAAATGGTTCCAAGCCAGGTACAGTGATGCATGCCTGTAGTTTCAGCTACTTGGGGGGCTCAGGCAGAAGGAGGACTTGAGCCCAGAAGTTCAAGTCCAGCCTGCGCAACATAGCAACACCCTGTCTCTAAAAAAATTTGTTTAATGAAAAACTAAATGGTTCTGAAAGGAGCATTTTAAATCACCTTTCTTTCTTCTTTTTTATAATGGTGTCTTGCTATGTTGCCCAGGTTGGCCTCAAATTCCTGGGCTAAAGTGATCCTCCTGCCTCAGCCTCCTAAGTAGCTGGGACTATAGGTACTGTCATTATGCCTGGCATCACTTTTTAATATCAGCTTTCCAATATTTTGTAATATGTCAAAATCTGAGACTTTTGATAGACCTTTAGTATGTTTAGATATGAGGTCCTACATATATTATTCTAGTTTCTTCTAATTATGAATTGTGAGAATTTCTCTAAAAGGACAGAAGGGGAAGGTGCCTCACCTTGATAATCTTTTCCACACCAGAAGAGCAGATCATGTAGGTATGTGGATTAAATCGGACCTGGTTAACAATAGATCGATGCCCTTTCAGCACCATGAAGGCTCCGTTGACCACCCTACCAATGCCACCTGGGAAAACAGAAGGAAACAAAAATCAAATGATGAAAAGGATGAAAGTAAATAGGTTCCAGTAATGGCAAAGAAACAGCTCTGAATTGGAGCTAAGATTTTATTAACTATACCACCAGCAGAATGCTTAATCTTACAGATAAGTTGCTATGGAAAGAGAGAAGATGAAGCACCTCTCAGCATATGTGCTCTTATGAAGAGCCTTTATTTAGCCTTTAAGCATTGCCCACACCCACCCACTTCAATTCCATTGTCAATGAAACTAAAGCCACTTAAAACATTTCTCAAATTTTTGATCCCCAAGATAGAATCCAAGTGTTACCTTAGAAAAGGCTAATCATGAGCAAAATGAGACTGAACTGCTTGGGAATAGTTAAGCAGTTGAACCAGGGACATGCAGAACCAGAAGCATATAATGACTTAAATGTACAAAAAACATCTCTAATCCATTTGCCCTCAGTTTCTATGATGAATACAGCAAACAAAAAAACCAAAAACAAAACAAAACAAAAAACTCCACAAAATCCAAAACCACAGGGGGAATAATAGAGAGAATACTTCTCTGCCCGCTGCCCCAATAGCAGGGAGAACTAAGGATAAAGAAAGAAAGATTTGGATTACATTCTTAATAAGCAGGGTCCAAGTATTGAGAATTATAATTAGAGAGTGGGCCTTAAAGATACTACATATAGATGAAAGTCAAGAGGACATGGATAGCAAGGTCTATTTTAAGGACCATCCTGTAGGCTTCCTTCTTCAGTGACTGAGAAAAGTGCCAGAGGCCTGGAACTTATAACATAGATAAAGATGTTATCATTTATGAACTCGGGATAAATTCAAAGGTTCTGTTTCACTGGTAATGGTATCATACCCATCCAGCACACGTGTACATAAGTTCTGATCAAGTTCCTTCCGAGCAATCAGACAACTCAGTACACACAGAGAAACGTGTGCCCTTGGCTAACTGGCAAAATGTGATGCATCCAGACACAAACAAATGAGCGTTCATTTATCTACTCAAGGGACTCCCTCTTAGTCCCTACCAGGAGCATGGCGCCACTAGTCACAAAGTATTGTTAGACAGTCTCTGCTCCAAGTGCTTCCCTCCACTCACAACTCCACCTTATTCAAACATTCATTCCAAATATTTCTCAAAGTCTGTGTTTGGAGGGAAAATGACTAGAACAATGTCCCTTCCCTAGAAATAACATGGCTCTAGGGGTATCTTCTACTTTTGGCCCCCTAACACAACTCTTCTTTTGTCTCATGGAAGAGATATGTACTTATTACCATGTACATATCTTTTTTTATGACAGCAAAAGGTTCCAGACTGCACCCATCTGCTCACACAGTCAGCTTTAGGTGCTCAATCTATTTTGTGGGTGACAAAATTTTTCTCCATGTTTGACATTAGTAATATTTGAATTGTCCAGGATGGAAAATATATTTATCACATTCATATCTCAGCCCAACATCAAGTTTGCTAATAAACCATAAAGGAAAAGAGAGGGACCAGGACACAGGACTAGTGGATTTTTCATGGAGAAAGAGGATGAGGAAAGGTCAGGCACTGATGTAGACTGCCACGGTGGGAACCCCTAGGCAGTCTGAGTGCACTGGGTTCTAAGGTGGGATGAAAGGGAAGATGGGTCTAGTCAAAATGAAAATAAACTAGAGACAATTGGGGAAGAGGGATAAATAGGAATCTAAAGAATCCAAAATAGTTGTCTGAGAGATTCTACCATCCCCCAAAAGTTCCTTTGGGTTTATTTCTTTTCTAGGTAAGGTTAATTATGACAAGTTGCATTCCTGCTCATGGGTCTCCTCTGAATTTTACTTTTTTAACGCCTGACTTCTGCCTCTACTCCCGCTAGGGTGGTTAGCAAAGAAACTTTGATTTAAATCTAGTAACAGTCTCTTGTTTAATCCTTCTGCCTCAAAAAAAGGGAGGTGGGGGATTTAAGTGACTTGTCCCAAGTCATAAGCTAGAAAATGGCAGAACTAAGATTTGAACCAGAATCTTGCTTTCCACCATATCAGCTGCCTTTGGAAGATGGAAGAGTTTGAATAGGAATGGAGTCAGAAGCTTACATTCAGAAGATTTAAATTTCTAAATCTTTCTGGCAGTTATCAGATAGGCTGTTTTTCTTCTGAAGTCCTAAATTAAAAGGAGGGGCACTGTATTCAACGGTACCCCGAGCACAAGCTCTATAGCTTTATCATAAGACATTTCATCACATCGCTGACATTGAGTACACGATGAGAGTAGAACTGGATCTGTCTTACTTACTCTTGCATAACTAGAACCTGAAGTGCAGTGTCCAAAGTCCACCAGGTGCATAAATACTTGCTGAATGCATAAGTGTTTGAAAAGAGAGGAATTTTAGAACAAGTATGTCAAAAGAGGACAGATGGAAGGTCTCATAATAATCAGCTATCATAGAACTAAATTATATCAACCAAACCAAACTTTCTGACTTGGAACACAATTACAATAACTTTCAGATCTAAAGAATAACTGAAAGGTATCAATGCCTGAAAAACTGCATTGCTCTTTCATGCAATCTGACCTCATCTGATTTCTTTTTTTTTTTTTTTGAGAAAGAGTCTCACTCTGTCACCCAGGCTGGAGTGCAGTGATGCAATCTCAGCTCACTGTAACCTCCGCCTCCTGGGTACAAGCAATTCTCTGCCTCAGTCTCCTGAGTTGCTGAGATTACAGGTGCCCACCACTATGCCCCGCTAATTTTTGTATTTTTAGTAGAGACGGGGTTTCACCATCTTGGCCAGGCTCGTCTTGAACTTCTGACCTTGTGATCCACCCGCCTCGGCCTCCCAAAGTGCTGGGATTACAGGCGTGAGCCACTGCGCCCGGCCCTGATCTCTCTTCTTGGTAGCAATTTTAACACGAAGTCTTTTTTTTCCTTCTTTCCACCCATGCTGGTACCTAGGAAATCTGAAAAAGAAGAGGAAATCAATAAACCCAGAGACTGAGGTGAAAACAGGTACAGGCAGAATTATGGTGAACGTTTGTTTAAGGTAACCAAGACTGTAAAATCATAGCAATAAATGGCTTCAGAGAGGTTCTTTATAGTTTCTTTCCTGGTTCGCAGGTTTCAGGTGATTGAATACAGCTGCTACTCTACAGTTTATATAGAATAATTTTTTTTTTGAGATTATTAGTCCTGGAAATCTGTATAAGCCAGACAGCTTCTCCTGTAATGTGAAATAGCTAAAGTCAAAATGCCAATATCAGAAAGAATAGAGAGACTCCTTTCTTCTGTCATCTAGCCAGACTGTGCCGGTCAATAGCAGGGTCAAATTGGAAGGAGTTTGGAAGGGCATATTTTTATCCAAGAACTATATAAACCACATAATATCCCTTCAGGGTCATCTCTAAGACTGTGGGTAAGGACTCAGGTAAGAATCAACCTCAGCCCCTGATTGCTGAACGGTGTCCTGACTGAATCACTAACAATGGGTACCAATAAATAAAATACAGCATACCCAGGAAAAAGGATTTGACTCATTCCTGAGCTGCCATTTGTTCATGAAATTCTGTATAAACCAACAGTCATTTCTCTGGGCCATCTGCTATGGCTGGCTTAGCCAAATGTGCTGACACTCTTTTTTTTTTTTTTTTTTGAGATGGAGTCTTTCTCTGCCACCCAGGCTGGGGTACAGTGGTCCGATCTCAGCTCACTGCAACCTCCACCTCCCGGGTTCAAGTGATTCTCCTAACTCAGCCTCCTGAGTAGCTGGGATTACAGGTGCGTGCCACCATCTAATTGTTTTGCATTTTTACTATTTTTTTTGTGTGTGTGTATTTTTAGCAGAGACAGGGTTTCACCATGTTGGTCAGGTTGGTCATGAACTCCTGACCTTGTGATCCACCTGCCTCGGCCTCCCAAAGTGCTGGGAGTACAGGTGTGAGCCGCTGTGCCCAGCCAGCTGACAATCCTTTTTAAGTTTAGTTGTAAGTTGAGGCCAAAGTCCTCATATATTAATCTTTCTTTGATTTAGAAGAGATGGTAGGGGGGTGGGGAAGACTATAACCTTATCTATTGCAAGATCTCAGAGAAGAAAATGAGAACAAAGTATCTCACAGAATTTCAGTATCAGTGATCCACTTACTACCTTAGAGGACCCAAGGATCCCAGAAGAAAACACCTTGCTCAAAATTCAGATAAAGATCTTTCTAAATGCCAAGGCCAAATGTCACCCTAGAGAAGACAAAGGGAAATGTATATGTCCTAATTTCCCTCCCTTCTCTACCCACTTTCATAACATTCAGTCAGGGTTTATTGCATCATGCCTTTGAAGAGTCAGAATACTATTCCCATTTCTAGCCAGTATCAGTTGCTTTTGTTTAGTGTCAAGTTCATTTGCTTCATGAAGCCCTCCAAGAATGAGTATGTTTTTGACTCAAAAGCTGAAAGCAATGTGGTCAAGATTTCTTGATGTGCAACTTATCAATCATGCTGAGAAGTTGTCTTCAATGGCACTTTGGGCTATAAAAGAGACCACTTAAGTATTCTGTACTGAAATCAATCCCAAATGCAAAACACCAGGATTAATTTTCTTGCCAGAGTCTTTGGAGTTTTTGCCTGTTCCTTGCAACCCATTACGGTCATGTGCTGCATATGACGTTTCAGTCAATGACAGTGGTCCCATAAGATTATAATACTGTATTTTGGCCAGGAGCAGTGGCTCACACCTGTAATCCCAGCACTTTGGGAGGCCAAAGTGGGCAGATCACATGAGGCCAGGAGTTTGAGCCTGGTCAACATGGCGAAACCCTGTCTTTATTAAATATACAAAAATTATCCAGGCATGGTGATGCATGTCTGTAATCCCAGCTGCTTGGGAGGCAGAGGCATGAGAATCACTTGAATCTGGGAGATAGAGGCTGCAGTGAGGTTAGATCACACCACTGTTCCTGCCTAGGTGACAGAGTGAGACTGTTTCAAAAAAAAACAAAAACAAAAAAAAACCACCCT